GCTAAAAACTGAAGGGACAGAAACTGAAATCCAGGTCAACAGAATCCAACTCTAACAGCTTTTTCACTTCAGTATTCTGCCTTTCTATGAAGCAAGAAGTTGAGGACAATAGAATCAGAAATGAAATGTATGACAATAGCCAGTAGAAATCAATTGCTCATGTAGACAGATCTGTGATTATGGTGAGGTAAAATGAGACTCAATATTCTCTCAGAGGAAAGCACAATATACACTTATTCAAAAAACCACGGTTAAACAGAAGACAAAAATGCAATGTTTCTTCAAGGGCAAAAAGTATTCAATTAATTCAATCAAATGATTGCTCCTTTCTCTCCTGGTATTTTCTACCAATGTAAAAAAGAAGAAAATTATACTTTGATCTCTAAAATTATTAGAGATAGTAACTAAACTTTGCTGTAATTCTTTTAAGTGCTAAAAAATCTTAACATCTAAATTTTTATTCTAAATTCCCAAACTTTTCCATAAACAAGAAATTTCAACTTTTTAAAAAATATCTGCAGCAGTTTATCTTCAATTTGTTTGTGGGGAAAAATAAACTCAGCCTTGCAGTTTTAGGAAAATTAATCCCCAAAGCTAGTAAATATATGGTAGAAAAACCAACAAATATTGACTTCCATCATCTATTGCCTTGAATGATAGTTTTTGCAGAATCTCCTTTCCCTCAATCATCTATAAAATTTTTCTGTAATAGAAGTAAAAAATTACTTTGTAGGAGAGTGAGAAGGAAAAGGTGAGAGGGAAATAGTTGTTTCATGTTTTAAAATTTAATAAGTCAAAAAATTATCTAACCCCAGTACTGCAACCAATCACTACTCTTACAACTGATTCTACAACAGACTAAAGGAATAACTTTGATACAAGACTCAACACAACTGAGCAGATGTTCCAGGAACAGCAAGTTAATGCTGACCCCCTTCCATACCTGAAAAAAGGACAAAAATATGGTTATCTCAAAATCCATAAATTAATGTCCAATAGCCTTCTAGGGGAAGTTTGCTTTTGTTCCATACAAATGACAACCTTGAAAAACTGTAAAGTATTGGGATTACAAAGTAGTGGGATGAGATCATCTTATATTTTACTAAGTCAAAGCACAGGGAGTAGATAAAAATCATTAAAGAATTGTTAAGATGAGCTAATTGTATTTTTGTCCGTCTTCTTAATGGAATAGGAATTTTATGAGAGCAAGGACCACCCATCTTCTCTCTATCTCTAGCACCTGGTTCATTGTAGGTGCTCAACACATGCTTGATTAATTGAATTCACAAAGATAAATTGACAAAGTTTTCTTTCAATAATCATTGACATTAGTTTTGAGACTCCCTTTTTATACTGATGTAACTGCAAAAAAAATTTTTTTAAGAAAATGGATCTAGTTAGTTATTCTTCCAATCCCAGGTTTTATAAGAGCATAACCATGAACTAAATGTGTGTAGGAAAAGGCATTAGACCTTAAAGAGGTACGTAGAAAATTGGTTTAGAACTCCAGATTGACTAAATCAGGTCTGTTATTTTATCCATTAAATAGTCTAAGCAGATTAATTGGAACCAGACATGTGAAGATCCATGAGGTTTGCTTTTTAGTAACATTAGTTATTTAAAAGAAAAGTTATAGGTTACATTTCAACACATCCAAAGTAACAATTTAAGGAAAATGTAGATCTTGATAAATAATTTTTAAGTATATGTAGGCAGAAATGTTATAAGATACATTCCCTTTCTATAACCAGTCTTACCATACAGTAACAAGGTATTCGATTCCAAATGCTTTGCATAAATAATGTCAATTATCCACATCACCATGGATACATTTTATTTAGAAATTAAATACGAGAATATAAATATTTGTTTTCCTACATAAACAATCAGAAAAAATGGCTGTACATACCTAAGTAGTTATTTAATGGACACCCCTTTTAATCAATCACAGCATCTGATTACAGAGCAATAAAAGCAGTCTGGCCAGGTAACGACTAAAAGAATATGACAAACTGTTTTGGCTAGATCTCAGAAGAAAATTATTTGCCAATTGAAGAATACTGATTTCTAGAAATAGATGTCAGAAGCTTATTAATCTAAGTATCAAGGTTGATATTTCTGGGCTTATAACTAAAATATCATGAGACATTATCATTTTTAAAGCTTTACATTGAGGTATACACCTTAGGTGTAAATAAAATAGGTCAATGTTATCAACTAGAATGTTACATTTTAGAAAACATACTTGAAAACACACAGCCAATATGCACTTTTTCAAGCCAATTCCAGCTTTGTAGTTATTCCACATATATATATATATTTTCTTAGCCATCAAAAAATAGATACTTGAGTATTTTTTTGAATTGTTACAAATATCTCTACTTTTAAAGAGCTCAGAAGTAGGCAACACTGTCTGTGTTAGCTTTTCATAACAGAATGGAAAACCTTTATGAGAATGGAAAACCTTTATGAGTGGTCGGGCACAAGATTAAAAAAGAAATACCACTTTAGATAGGCTCAATGATTATCTGAATGTGTTACATTTAATATGTATTTGAACAACTGCATTACAATATTATTCTACTTTGCTATTTTTTAAACCAATTATTATACCCTTGGGATAATGTTGAAAATATAAATTCTTATGTTTAACATATATAATGAAGAAATACACAAATCATCAGAATTATACATTAACTCCCAGTAGCCACATCCAAATTCTGTGCGTGTACATGTGCAGCAGTTGTTTATATGGGTGATTATTTGATTTTAATTTAATAGTTTTGTTTCCAAATATTTTTCTTTTTCAACATCTTTACTATTTTAATATTGTTCCTCCCACCCAACACTTAGCTCAATTGCTGTTGACCTGGGCAAATGCATTTCTGATGTCTGTCAGCAAGTACAAAAGCATAATTTCATTAAAATGTATTATATATGCTCAAGACTGAGAGAACATTATAAAATGAAGAAGTTTGGCTAAAGTTCAACCGGGCATCAAATAGCACTGGCAAGAATTTTTTTAAACAGATGGTATAAAATCTTGCTAACACAATAGTGTGTGCTTAACACAGGAATAATATCAGAAACAGATGTGCTACAAATGACCAAAAGTACCAAACAGAAACAATAAACATAGGATATACATTAAAAACGATGCCGTTGCCAACTGGGGAAAAAAATGCATGTCTTTGTGAAATAAGAAATGCTACTGATATTTTTCCAGACTAAAGTTAGTATACACATATTTTCCTTTGGCTTTCTCTTTTCCATTGGTATTAAACTTCTATTAGGGTGGCCAAAATTAATAATATAATTTTAATGCACATTAAAAGAAACTAATCATATAAGAGAAAAATACGTCCTTGGGTTAGCCTAAGAAATTTAGGGGATCTAACGGCTTCTATCCATCATTTGGAACGGAAAATATTCTCCTCAGCTCCATAGAAATCTCCCTCTTACACACACACACACACACACACACACACGCACACACACACACAGCCCTTTAAAAAAAACTGTACACACGTGCCTGATTAGTTACAAGTATTTGCCCAAGCATTGCACAGCGATATTAAAAGTTGCAAGAGCCAAGGGGCTATGGCTGGCACAGGAACTAAGGCCAAGTACAATAGAAAAAAACTCGAATCCCTAGGGAGCCCTCCCAGAGGCTGAAACCGCGCCCCTCTGGAGTGATGGATAGGTCCAACACGCCTAGTACCTCTCAGGACAGGGCCCCAACCTGCGCGCTTAGACGCTGCACCAGGAAGAAGGGAAGACCGCGACACTGCTCAGACTCCGCGGCCGGCCTCCCGGGCCCGACCTTATCTCGCCCACTCCAACCTTCATTCCCTACTCGGGAATCCGGAGCCGTCCACTTTACCGACAGCAGAGGCACACATTTGTTCTGGCCATGGCCTTGGTGTTTGTTGTTGGCTTGGGATTTCTGGCTTTCCCTCTTAACAGCTTCGTGGGGTTGTGGGGCGGGGTGCTAGGATGTGCACTCTGGGGCTTTTGAAGTGTTGAGCAAGAATTGCCTACCTGTTTCCTGGCAGAGGAAGGGGGAGAAGGGGGCCTTGGGTCTCCTCCAGGCGCTCTTTCTCAGTCAAGAAAGGTTTTAACAACTTCTGGAAGACAGATCTGATTCCAGGGGAAGAATGTTTCCCATCTGAAGCCCAAGCTTCCGCCCTGAGGTAGCCCACGGAAAAGGGCGCGAGGAGGGTGGCCGCCAAACCAAACCCACCAGGGCGATGCCAGGAGCCTCGCTCACACCGAGTTTGGATTAGAGATGAGGTGTGGAGGGGTGTGTCACGCAGGGTGTCCCCCCCGCGCTTGCTTTCGGATCAGAGCATGTTTGGGGGCGCCAGCTGTCGCCCAGGCCCTGCGCCCATAGGCCTTGGAGCCTCCCGGAGTGCACCGCGCGCTGGGGAAGCTCCCGGCCTGCCCCGGGGCTGGCGCCTGGCGGGGGCAAAGGCCGGGGTGGAGAACAGGGGCCTGAAAGCCCTGGGGGCCTGCAGGACTCCCGCGCATTTCTCTCCCGGCTCGTCCCCACAGGCAGGCGCTGGCCAAGGAAACCCAAGCCTCGGTGGGGGTGAGGGCAGGGGCGAGGAAGGGCCCCTGGCTCCCACAAGAGGCGGCCTGCAGGCCTCTGCTGCAGGCGTGGGGGTTACCAAGGAAATGCAACAATATTTATGACCAGCAGGAGATGAGAAAGCGTTCGCGCAGCACGCGATCTAACTCCCTCCCCTGGCGGCTTGCCATCCCGCGGGCCGCCCTCCCAGCGCGCAGGCTCAGGCTCCACAGGTGCAGAATCCATTCCTCCGTGTCCGACGGCGCACCGCGCTCAGTCGTCCAGCCCCCGCCCCGCTCCAGTCCCTGGTCCCGCCACCCCCAAGACCTCCTAAGAGAATTTCCCATTTCTATTACTCCAAGAGAAACGGAGGAGAGGAAACTGCTTCATACCATGCAAGGCTCAGGAATTATTTTTTATATATTAGCACAATGGTTAAGACGTTGAAATGGGTTCCGGTTCAGCCTCTGTCGCTAATTTGTCCTGAGAATTTGTGCTGCCTCTAAGAGATTCAGGTTACCCCTCTGTGAATCAGGCATAGTAATATCTACCTCATAGATGACTATTAGGACTTTATATATTGGGTAACGCTAAATAATCGATGATACTTCTTTTTAAAAAGTGCACATTTATCTCTGAAACTGTAAAGTCTTGTTAGGAAAAAAGTTACCTCATCCTGGGGGAGGGGTGGGTTAATGAAGCAGCAATTTTGGCTTAGTTTACAAACTACCTATTTCTTTCCTCCATGCTGACCTTTAAAAGACAGATTTACATAGATTAATACAGATTATTTTTTTTAATATGGAAGGTTCTCCCCCCCAATATTCCTAAAATTACTGAAGCAGGGCAAAAGTGTTCTGAAGTGGAGGGTTAGGAGGAAGAAACCTTGAAAAGGCATTGCATATATTAAATCTTCAGAAGAAACTGCTGCATATTGCTTCTTCTGACTTTAAGACTCAAAAGCAATAATGGTGCAAACTGAAAAACTCTTAGCCAGGTCAAGGTGTTATTACCAAAAGATGGTGTAATGTAAAGATGCCTTTTACAAAAATGTCTGTTGGAGCTTCTCCTGAGGAAGGGGCGGCTATTTGATGGATGAGTGGGATTAACCACTTCAAAAATGAGTAGTTCTGCCATGTTTATAAGCCTGTAGCAGCTATGTCTGAATTTGCAAATCTTCTTGGTTTCATCTGACAGGAAACTGGAGTTTTCAGAATAAAGCCCTAGTGTTTTCCCTCTTAGTGTTGGGTAAATTCAACACCTCAGAGGCTGGTTCAACCATTCCAGGTCTCCAGGCCTCTTCCAGTCCTTTTCCAGGACTTCAGGACTCCAGCCATCAAGTTGCATGGTGAGTCCAGACAAGGATGGCAGACTAAGCCACCAAGGTACCCAGGACACACAACTGGGACCTGGCACAGAGCAGGGACCTGTCAGGCTCAATAATTAAGACTCCATCCACCACCTGTGAGTTCCTTGGCATTCTTTCTCCATCTCGTGGACTGTAATCGAGGATGCATCTATTTTCCAGGTCAGGAAGGATTGCTTGCAGCAGCATCTGGCTCTGAATGACCTCGGCTGCCATTCAGATTGTCCACTCTGGGTCCCCTTCTTATCCTGGAACAAGCTAAAACCTATGTCAACGTCCAGCCAATGTGCACAGCATTTCCCTGTGTGCATTCAGAGTGGGTCTATAGGAAGCTTGCCCCAGGTTTCTACTGATCCAGCACATTCCTACTCCGATTTCTGATAAGCTCCTCTATAAAAAGAGTCTCAGACTGGGATGGTCTCTTAGGCACCTAGAGCAGGTTTCCTAATTTAATTGCCAACACGATGTCTGAGGATCCATTGAAGATTATAAGCCTCTCATCCTAGGTGAAAAGTGGAGCCCAGAAATCCCCTCAGTTATGTCAGAACTTCAAGATGCAGGAACTGGGCAAGAAGGTAACCAAAGCAAAGTAAGAGGCGCTAGAACTAAGAAGGTGGAGAAAGGCATGAAACTCTCTGTGCTTGCCAGCACATACATTCTCTCATTCAAAAAGCAAACGTTCATTGTCTGATGCCTGTCATTGGACTGGGTTTCAGAGAGTCAGAATATCACAGGGTGCTCAAAACCTACAGCTGCAGGAAAACCTGTAGGGATCAATTTTATTCACCTGTTTGTTTTGTGGAGCCCATTTCTAAAGACTTCTTCTCCCAAGCGGGACAGAGGGTGAGATGCGATGCCTTCACACAATCTGAACCAGGCACCACAGCTTCTGCTTACTCCACACAGTAACCAGAGTTTTGTCTAGGTGGAAAAGAGCTGAGCCCAAGCCTTTGAATCTCAGCCGGCAATGTTCAATCCAGGTTTTGATCTATTCACGGATAATTAGACATTGTATTCTATAACCTGCAAAGAAAAGGAGAAAGAAGGATTTTACCACCAATTTAAATGTTCCCCTTTGTGGCTGTTTTATTTGGCACTTCAAATCATTCTGTGCTGTTTAGCCTAGGCCCAGCGAGAGTAGAGGTGGGAAGGGGGCGCTCTTCCCCACCAGATCCCAGATGCCCGCCTGCTGCTGGCAGCCTACAGCCCCGCCAGAAGCAAGCTGAAGCGAGGGGCTGGCGGCTGGACCACCTGCGCTGGAGCCTCAACCCAGGTCGACTGAACTCTGTAGAGAACCATGTTATGAATCCATTAACCGAAAGTATCCGTTTCCTAACTCACTGTAAAGCGACAACCTAGCGAAGTGGTTAAAAGTCTAACTGTCAAGCCGCTGCGTTGGGCATCTGGGTTCGAATTCTGACTGAGTCTGGTAAAATGTGGCCTTGGGCAAGGTAAAGAAGTAGAGTTGTACACCACAGCGTCAGTAGATCGTTTGATAAGTAATACGCAACAGCTATGGTTACTGCCGTTTTCACAATACTCAGAAGGTTGCAAAAACGGACAGAAGTCAGGGCGCCAAGTATATAAATGTGTCAGATTAACTTCCCAATAACCCAGTGAAAAAGGAAGAGGGGAAGTTTTCTGTGCGTTTTTTGGGCCAAGAGGCCACTATAAAGGTAGCCCCAGGCTGTGCGCTCTTCTCTAGAGCCTCTGCAGCCCAGGGAGCTGCGTCTGGCCTTGGCCACGGGGTCTGGTGAACCCCTAGAATTGGGCAACTGGAATCAAGATTGATGCTGAAGAGCACTGGCCTGGCCCCTTCACTAGGGGAGCTAGGTCTTTGGTGACTCCTCTACATCCAGACCACCCCAGTGAAGGGAACAGGATGCTAAGGGAGCAGAAGAGGATTGTAGTCATTGAGAATCTCCTGTGTCAATGAACACTTATTTCAACATCATTGAGATTTTTGTGGCAACTTCTAAGTGATTCATCTCCATTTTACAAGTGAGAAAACTGAGGTATTAAAAAGTCAAATTGCTCAAAATTCCATTACAGGCTTGACTAACTTTAAATCTTGTGCTTTACTATAATAAATAACAGGTTGCCTAGCTCTCAAACCTTGAACTCCCAGGAAAGAGGGAAAAAGGAAGGAAGGCAAGCAAGAAATGAGGAAAGGAGGAGGAGAGAGGGGGAGGAGAGGAAGGAAAGGAAGAAAACATTGCCACAGCTACAGGAACCAATCTCCTGTAGCAGAAATCCATATAAAGTTGTTCATCTTTTAAAAATTATGTCTCAAGATTATTCCCCAGACTTCATATTTTTGTAAAAGCATCATTTTACAAAATATGTCGGATAAGCAACAATGGGAAGTGGATGTATTGCCGGGAAGAACCGTAGACCTAGACCCACAGACACCGAAAGTTGTGGGCGGCATGGGGGGCTCTCGTGGGGCGCGCACACTGGCTAACAACAGGAGCTGCGCGCTCCTTTATCAAAACCTCATCCAGGCATGCGGATAGGAGGCTCACACCACCACCCCCAAACCCGAGAAACACCGTCTGACGCCCTCATTCTTGCTCTGAGAGCAAATTTGGCTTTCCTGACACCCTGGCCAGGTTTTAGTTCAGCTTTCAGAGATCTCTGGGGAACAGGGCTTGGGGGGCGGGAGGATGAAAGAGGCGAAGAGAAGCCCACAGGGATTGGGTTCTTCCTCTTTCTAGGTTAGTGAGCTCCGGATCAGATCCGCCTGACGTGCCTAGGACAAGTAGGGAAACCGAGTACCGACCGGGAAGCGGCTAGAGAGTTAGATTTTTTTGTTCTCTCCACTGTGTACTTTGACACTGCTGTAGAAACAGGTTCAGGTTTCTGCCACTGATCTTGCTTTGTTGCTCATTCTAAACGAAAAAAAAAATGCATTTAAAACCAGCAGCTTCAAACCACAGGCGTGCTTAAAGCGAGATCGTCGGCTTGGAAATGTCACAATGAGTAAACGGTGTAATAGACTTCTGCATTTCGCGCCCAGCGTTTAGGCCGGAAGCGTCCCAGACTGCCCCCGACTCCTAATTTTCTCTCTCGGATCCTTTTCTCCTATCAGGCGGGAAACGCTTCCCTTCACCCCTTCCGCAGCGGACTCGGAGCGTTTCCCCGCGCTCCAGAGGGAGACTCACCGGCTGAAAAGAAATAGCCAGTCCACACGTACAGGGTGTCAGGCGCAGAACTTGGTTTTCGAGTTTTGGGTCTCCAGAACCACTGGAGACAACTAGCCCCAGCTGGGCATCCCACTGCAGCTGTCCAGGCAGGCGCCCCGCGGGGCGCGCTCGCCTAGCTGGGAGCCTATCAAGCGTCGCTCTTGGCCCCAGTGGGAGAGAGACCTGTGGGGCCCAGACAGATGCCCTAGCCACCTTTAGGCGACCTCCCCTGGCATGAATAAACGCGCCCTTCCTTTTCCCTGGGAAACTGTGGATGACAAGGTCTAAGAATGAATCTGGGACCGTCAAGTCCCTCGGTGGGCGCGTTTCTAGCTGTGCTATCTCTGAGGGGTTACGTGGGTTCTGAGAAGCCCAGATTCGTGGAAGGACCCTCTAGAAGTTATCTCCTTCAGTCTCTTTTCCAGACTAATATTAACAATGGTTAGGAGGAGTGGGCAAAAATCCGAAGACACCTTCTCCTAACCCTAAACCAAGTGTGACAACCGCAGTTTCAGAGTGGTCTTGGCTGAGTTTTCACCTTCAAGGCTCTAAGCAGCCGCCACCAGAATCAGCCAGAAGCTGCAACCTTCTTACCAGCGTGGAGGTCTCTGCCTCAGCCACCGCCTCCTACAGTCCTCAGCCGGCTGTGTGCCCCAGGCAGGGGAAAACAGGGGTGGAAAGAGCAGGCACTACTGCTGTACCTGCAGGCCCGGGAGTCCTGGATGCGTCTCCTTTGACCTCGTTTTCTCCCAGGCCCCTGCTGTGCCTGGCCCAAGTCTCCACTGGTCTGACCCAAGCAAGTCCTTGCAGGTGAGCGTGAGGGCTGAGAGCGGGAGCAAGCGACAATTCAGGGAGCCGAGGCTTTGGAGATTGCCTGAGCACCGCAGAACCTCCAGGTTAAGTTTCCTCAAACATGTGGTTACTCACCGCGAGGAGCTCAGAGGCAAAGGGTACAATAGTCAAGTTGGTGGGGACTTTCCCTACTTAAGGTTATAATTTGCTAATTCGGATCTATTGCTTTTAAATATCGAGTTCCGGAAACCTCTGTCAATGCAGACTTAATTTCATCCCACTGATGAAGGATGTTTATCTACGGCGCCTGCAGTGCAAGCTGAGTGTGAAAATATCAGTTTTATGCCTTTTGATAAGAATTACCGAGGTGGAAGGCTTATTAGACGATTACAAATTTCGCAGCTGCTCGCAGCCCAATTAGGCAGCTCTTCGCGGTGAGTTGAAGCCGTTGGGGGTCAGGGCGGGTTGGTGTTCCTTTCTCCAGCCCTGGACCTCCAATCAAGGGCTGGCTCCATGGGATCCAGACCCCTTCTCTGCCCTCCGCGGGCTTTAGAGAGAAACGCTCTGAGCGTCCCAACTTGTGCAGCAACCACACTGCCCAGGACAAGGCTCACTCTGAAGTCTCTCAGGCTCTCTTCCCTTTCTCCTCTCTTCCCCTTCACCCCTGGGCTTGCAAAAAGCCCTGTGATCCAGGGGTGTTGGTAGTCCCGCCTGGGTGGACCTGCGGTCTCTTGATTTTCATAATTTCAATTTAGTAGGTAGGAACCGTCACGACGCTAGTGATTGCTTTTCCCACCTGCAGACAGGCAAGACGATGTTTTTTGGTCTGTTTTGGCTCGTCCAAAATTGGTATCAATTGGAGTTAGGGCTAAAAACTCTCGTTACAAAGAAAGAGGTGAGGAAAAAAAAAAGAAAAGAAAGAAAACCCTTTTGATTTTGCTCAAGCACATAAAGCGGGAAATGGTAGTCTGCAAACAGCAGGCAAACTTTTTCTTTGCTGGAACCGAGGAGGAGCGTGGGTAAGAAGTGAGATGAGAGCTCCAAGGAGTCGGTCACTAAGCAGGAGCGATATCTCCATAGCTCGCTCCCTGACAAGGGGTCAGAAGGTCGTTGGGCCCAAGGCGGGCGGGGCGCTCAGCCTTGACTTTCATAGCAAATACTGCACATCTCTCTCCTCCCACCTCCACACGCGACCCCCAGCCAAAGGCTCATGCAGCCCAGAACACAGAAATTGACTCACCGCCCAAGGCCTATCGGACAAAGCTGGGTGCGCGCAACTCACCGGGGGACCTGTCAGCATTTTGCCGAGCGCCTGGAGTAAAGCGACGCCAGACCAGTCTTTCAGGTCTTCTCCCCATGTCTGACGACCATTCTTCTTCCCCAAGCCCAGAAGCCTCTAAAAATGAATCATTTCCTCCACTTATGCAGAGATAGGCGCTCTTAGATCAAGATTAGTATTTTGAAAACCTGATTGAGAGCCGCCTGATTAGGCGAGGGTGGGTGGAAAGACGGCATAAACGCCGGCGCCCCCGCCCTACTTCCCCAGCTTGGCGCTCTCGGGATCTCCAAATGACCCGCGCGACAAATTCTCCTAGATAGCCAAATAGTATTCCAGATTCACTTTGCAAACTCTAACACAAAGAACTGTAATTAAATCTCCAAACCGGCCCTTTATTTTTAATTTCACTTTCGATGAAATCCTGCTCTACACACGGCCTGATGGCGCCAACAATCTGCACGACTCTCTTTCCATTCGGAAGAGCCATCTCAAGAACGATGCGATTTCATGGAAAACGCATTATGTGAATTTTTCCCCCAAATGCTGATTTTTGCATTTGATGAAAAACACAAGTCTTTCTGGTTCCCACGCACAAGTTAGCATTTTGAAAAGTCAGCCCACCCCCAAGCTTCCAATTTTTTAAGAGGGCACATATTAATCATAGCATCCCTTTTCCTCCACTCCGTAAATTTGAGCGAGGTCCCCCAGAGAGGACGACAGAGGGATGGCTAATATTAACATGTGCGCAGCTGCGCGAAAAGAAAAACAATGGTGATAGGAAAATGCTCTAAAGACCTTAGTGTTTATGGGAGAAAGATGCAATTGAAGAAAAACTAAATATGCAGTAATGACCCAGCCCCAGACCGTTACACGGGAAAGTCTACCTATCCCCTCCGCTAGCCTGCCCTCCACTCGCCTGCTGCTGATTGGTGGGGCAAGATAACTTGGATCTTCCTCTTCTAGACAAACAGGACAAGGAAATAAGATTATGTGTGGGTACGCATATATGTCTACACATATATATTTCCGTCTAATTGAAGCAACATCAAATGATTTTGTTAAAGGCCTTTAAGAAACAAAGACTCCCAGATCTTCTTGTATTACTTATGTTTCAGAAGTTTTTGTAAAAAATGGAAATAAAATCATTTAAAACTAATCTCTTACCAAATTCCTCTTCATACAATAACGAAGTAAAGTTTATACCCTAAAGAAGCTATTAAAACAAACACACTCTCCAATCTTAATCAAAATTATGGTATGAGTACCTCCCTCACCCCCACCCACCCGCATTCGGAACTTGAGGTAGCAGACGACAGCTTCTAGGGTTTAAATTTTGTCTAGGACTAGATGAAAAAGCAATACTCATTAGCAACATACTTTTGTCTTTCTTTGTAGCCTTGATTTCAAATCTAGTCGCAAATCATAAGCGTTTGTGCTGCGCAGATGTCCCTTCTTTATCTTAATGAGAAAACTTTTCGCAAAGGGGGAGAGAACCGCTAGATAAGGCAGCCCCCTGGCTGCCAGGGAACCGTCACGTTCCTCGGCTAGACCGGAGAGTGCGCCTTGCAGGAGAATGACTAAAACGTTCATCCAGACCACCACTTCCCCTTCTGCTTGCTGCAGAAAGAGATGTAACATGAATCTTTGTTTAGGTTTTGGTTAGGGAACGAGAATTTAAAAGTCATGGCAAACACAGACAGCAAAATTTTTTTAAAAGTCAAGTTAACAGGCCATCCCCAATTTTTTTTTTCTTTTTAATACTAAACCTGGCGTGTCCTGATAAAGATCTTAACATGTAGGGAAGGCGGGCTTTCCTTAAGGAGGTGAAGCTATTTCTGCAGGAAAAGACTTTCCCCCACAACCTCCCCCCACCCCTTATGTAAGGTTCCACCCTCTGGAAAACAAAACTTTTTTTTCTTTTCCTGGAGGGACAGACCACAGTGAAGTTGGGAAAGAACAGTCCATCAGAGAATGGTCACGGCCACAGCGGCCTCTTGGGTCTCGAAGACACACTTGTAGCATTCTTCTCCTCCTCGGTGTCAGCTCTTATTAGTGCATTGGGGCGGGGGAGGGGGGAAGATCGGCAGACCCGGACAGCCTCTGACCCTCCGGAGTTGGTATGTGATACGCAGCCCTAGCAGTGCCATGTATTGGAAGAGCGATCAGATGTTTGTGTGTAAACTAGAAGAAAAGGACGTGCCGGAGCTGGCAGTTCCCCCTGAGAAGGTGAGCAAGCCGACGCCTGACCAGAACAGCTGAATTTGTCCTGTCCTTGAAACTCGAGTTGTTTGGGCTCCTAAGCAAGGTTCAGAAACTACCTGTAACGGCCTCATCTTTAGACCTGGCAATTTTTTTTTTTATTTATTACGTAGTAGCTTTAGTCAGTAATCATTGCCCTCCCTCCCCAAAGCTCACTTAACCTGAGGCATGGAGCCTGTAATTTGGGAGAGGAAGCCTCGAGCCTAAGGCGCTGTTAAGTCCATGTGAGTCGTGCTTTCGTACTGTTTGCCGTGGCGATCGTGGCGGTCCAGTAGAGGGGTCGGGTGGACTGGGCGGCTGTCTTGGGGAGCCAGAGACTCTGCTCCCTGCGCTCGGCTGCGCGCGGACACTTGCCGGCCCTCAGGCGCGCCTCTGGCCGCGGGACGGTCCGCGCTGCCCAGGGCCCGCCGCCACACGGGGGGAGAGCAGGCTGCGCGAAGGCCGAGGGGGTCCCAGCGCGGGCCGGGAGAGCTGTTTACCTTAAAATACCAAGAGCAGCAAACTGCAGGGCGCAAAACGAGGCACACGGTTCCCCAGAGTAGGTCGGGGAACCTGACACGTTCTCACCTCATTCTGGAGGCAGGACTCTTGGGCGCCTCGCGTTTTTAGTTTGAAAATCATCTGCAGCCCGTGAGAAGGCCTCAGCGGGACCCGCACCCGGCGCCGCTGGCTTTGGCTTAGCTCCGACGCTGGCTGGGAACACCCGGCGAACGTGGAGCTCTTCTGCTCAAACTCTTTGTGAGGGGCAGGACGCGGCCGCGGGGCAGCAGCGCCGGGTCCCGCGTAGGGCGCGCACCCTAGAAAGGGACGGTCCCCGCAGAGGGGCCCGGAGATCCCCAGGTTCGGCCGGTGTCTCGCCCGGTGCTTCCAGAGGCGGGTGTGGGAAAGGGAGGTGAAGAGTCAGAAGTGCCGAGGTGCGGGCCACTCGCGTTCCGGAGACCCGCCCGCCCCCAAGCTAGAGTTTTCAGAAACGAAGGCAGAAAAAGCCCAGAAAGACTGCGTTTTCGGTTAAGAACAAAACTCCCGGCAAAGACTTGGAAACACTTGAGTAACTAACGCGCGTTGTTGCTTTTAAAACATTTTGACCAAGATTGGGTGAGTTCTTTAAATGGCACAAATTAAATTCAGCTGGATATTTTCCATTATTCGACCCGCTTTTTGCGCTGGCTAAAAATAATCCTTTAGTAGCTCAAATGTTGACTTACTGAGCAATAAGTGGCAATTTACACCTTAAAGAAACGACTGTAAATCACTTGCGATTCTAATTGCTGTAAGTTTACCAAAGAGCTGCTGGCTCGGTTTAATCTGAAGCATTTTCATTCAAATTGTCATCGGAACAAACACCAGGCTTCTTAAATCCCGCTGTAATTAGCTTTCAAGTATCCTATTAAACCTCTTCACCTTTTGGGCTATCCTATTCAAAAAGCCCCCTTTTAAAAATATATATGTGTCTTGCTCTTTTAATTGAGGTTATTAAAGAAATCAAGTTTCTTCCCCCCCCACCCCCTCCTCAATCCTCTTTTCTTCTCTCCCACTCCACCTCCCCCCGCCCCGCACCCCCTTTAGCCCGGTGTTCCCCGCTCCGCCGTGATTGACGTCTAGAAAGAAAACGCTTTGTGCGAGGATGATTGTTATTAACTTGTTATCCCCGGCGGGGGGGCGGGGAACCGCCGTGCTCCGGTGAGCGCTGGGGACCCGGAGCCCCGGGAGCAACGCGGCGCGCCCGGCGACCCCTCAGCGCCCGGGTGGCGGCCGCCCGCGGCCGGCGAGAAAGGCTGCGCGTCCCCGCCCCCGGCGCCCGAGCTCCGGCGCCCGCACGGCTGCACGCGCGCCGGGGGCCTTCATTACCTCGCCCGCGGTGCCGAGGCTCGGGGTCGCGCTGCACGCTCTGAACTTGTGATATCTGCTTCTCCTCGTTTCCCCTCCCTCTCTCCCGCCCGCCGCGCAGTGCCGGGGTCTCATGTCCGAGGAGTGCGCACCGACTGCAGCCCTGGCGACCGGAAGGACTCGGAAAGGCGCCGGGGAAGAGGCACTGGTGAGTGGGGAGGGACTCGGGTGCCGGCGGGACTGTCCACGGGGAGACGGCGCGAGACGGGGGACAGCTGTCCCGGCGCCCTGTCCTGGGCCCGGCCGGCCGCTCACGAAGCGGGTGGAGAGCCCGCGTGGCTCCGGGGTCCTCGAGGTCAGGGGTGGGCAGCCCCAGCCGCTGCGTGGCCAGAGGTTGGACCCGGGGGGAGAGGGACAGAAGCGAGACCTCAAGAAGTGTGTGTGTGGGGGGGGCCGGGGGAAGGGAGGGGTGGGGGTGGGGGCGCCCGGGTGGGGGCGCCCCCGTGGGTGAGGGGAAGGCGAGGAGGAGGAGGGATCTAGAACCGCCTCGCGCCTTTCTGCAGGTGAGCCCCGAGGGAGCGGGGGACGAGGACTCGTGCTCCTCCTCGGCCCCGTTGTCCCCGTCGTCCTCGCCCCAGTCCATGGCCTCGGGCTCCGGCTGCCCCCCTGGCAAGTGTGTGTGCAACAGTTGCGGCCTGGAGATCGTGGACAAATACCTTCTCAAGGTAGGACGGCGCCGCGGGCGCGAGGCCCAAGGGGTGCGGGGTTAGCGTGTGAGCTCTGGGAAATAAAGGAAGGTCCCCCTCCGGCCCCCGACACACACACACACACACACACACACCCTTCCCACCCAAGTTTCGCATGGAGTTTGTAGTCTTTCTCGGCAGAGCATTCCAGTCTGGGGCAGTTCAAGGGATGAGGTTAAGCGTGAGAAGAAATCTTAGACTCTTCCATGTTTTCGCAAAACAGTTTGCGTGTGACGCGTCGCAGTCTAGAAGTGCCGATTCCCGGGGTGGATGTACCGGAGCCAGCCACCGACCTGTAGAGGAAGGGAAGTGGAGAAAACCTCACCCATTCTGAGACGTGAACTTGCTCAATAGTTATTTACCAAGCCTCGGATTATTACCTTCTTAAAAGTCTTTGTTCCCTCCAAATTGATTGTGGGCCCTCCACCCAGTAACGCCCGCGCCCCTGCCTGCTTAGCTTAGAAGAATTTTAAGTCGATAGATGCTGATTCCCCTTTGCAGTGTCTCTTTTGGTGAAAGCCACGGTAAAGTGCATTAAAGGATCTTTTCTGGACAGATCTTTAAAAATATAGTTGTATACTTATTTACAGTTAGCTGTGGCTTTTCCAAAGTAAAAGTTCGTAAGAACATTTAAATAAAACATTTAAATAAAAAAAAAAAATCTCAGTACCTCCCTGCTCTTATTAAGGACACCCAATGCTGTCGTGTCTTCTCTAGTGCTTGGGAAAAAATGGAAATTGATATAAAGTTAGACACACACAAGCCAGGAATTAAGTGTTTCAAGTGGTGGTTTGAGAGTTGACTGTTTTAATTCACTTAATGTCACTTAAAATATTGTTGGGGAATTTTGGAGTAGAAATTATGGCAGGCCACAGTTATCTATGTCATTGCAGACAGGATCATGATCCCATGTATCTTAATTCTAAGGGTCTTCAATTTAAATTGAGTTTTAAAAACACTTTAATGGTCTCTCTACACTGAATTAGTAGCAAACCAGTTGACTTTTTATTCTCTCCCCACACCGATTAGGTTCTCAAAAGGATTAAAGAGTATGTGTTTAAAAGTCCAATTAGTGGGTTTCTTTAAGTTTCTATTAATACCTCAACATACAAAACTGCTTCATCTGTAAAATGGGAATAATAATTTATAGATAAAATCTAGATAAAGCACCAAAAGAAGTTTTAGTGAAAACATTAAAAAATGACTGTTAGTTGGTGATTGATTCTTAAAGCTGGCAAATTAACATAGCTTTCTCTTTAAATCTGCAGTTTTGCGATTTCACTTTCAATGTTGCTAGTCTGGAGCCTTTTGGATATTGAAAAATCTTTTGGATTAAAACTAGCTTCTTATTTTTAATGAGTCCTTTCAATAATTAGCATAATCCTTAGGATTATATCATGGATCAATGAAAGTTTTTAACACTTCATAGCAGAGAAGATGTAGAAAAAAGGTTAAGATAAAGTGACACTTAACACACCCTCTGCAATAGGTAATAGTTTCTAGTGTAATCTTGTATATATTAAAATATATTTACATATTACATATTTTTGTATTTATATGCATTATCCAGGTTATTTTAGTGAGTCATAAAGCTTTCATTCATAATAGGACAGAAGTCCTCCTAATGAAGTCTTCCACGTACAGTCTTATTGTACCATTTCTTGTGTAGATTAGTGTATAAATTTGAACTAAAGTTTGATATTTTATGATTATATAAAGTCCGAGTTCCATTTAAACTTCCAGATAAGTTTAAATTCAGTGTGAATCACTAACAAAAAAATAGTTAGACCTAGTACAGTTTCATCCTTGTCTTTGAGGATGAAATTAATATAGAAAAACAGCATCTTGTGAGGCAAGTAAAATAGAATTAAAATGGAAAAGTATGAGAGGAGTTATATGCATCTATTGCCTCATCTAATACTTCAGTGCCCTCTTTGGGTAGTTTTGTTGGCTTGGTCTGAATTATATTTAGGAATCTGTATATTTAGGAATATACAGATTGTATATTTAGGAATATACAGATTGGATCAGTACCAGCTGAACCTTCTCTCTTCATCTTACTTTACTCCTTGGCAAATAAATAGAAGATGAAGCAGCATTTTTGGGAGGCAAAGTAAACTTTGAAGAAAGGTGGCAAACCAGGCATTAGGTCTGGCTTTAGGGAGCAAAAGAGAGACCATGGCTCTAGCCTAATGCTTTGCTTGTACAAGCGAAGGAAAACAAAAACCTGGATAACATTGAGATATAGAAGGTCCTAAACAGTGGAATCCTAAAGGAAGCCCGTACTTCTAAACTTTATCTAGTTGGGCCCCTTTTGGGGAAAAATATGAGTACATCTTCATTTTCAGGACAATACTCACCATTGTCAATATTTTTTATTCCAATTTCCTCAGATTTCTTTATTTCTTTGCTATTTTCTAGTTGTTTTAAAGAAAGACCAAAAATTTTAAAATTTCATAGAAAGTGAGACTCTCATTAATGTTTTTGAAAGGGGCACATAATTGTAATTAGAAGCCTGTAAAACTTTTTTTAACTTCGAAATATTTTCTTATTTTATATCATAGAAAAGCATGTTGAACACTAGTTCTAATCTGATAGAATCATTGGACAGGTAGTCTTCATTATGAAATAGTGTAGCAAAAGTTATATCTCACAGTCCTTTACTTTCCTGTTTTAGTCATTAGATCCATTTTTAGGGTGTAACTGGTGTTTTTGTGTATTGCTAATCTTTTACATGAAATTTAAGCATAAACCTAGTTCTGTATCCATTTAACAAGAGCAAACTTTAGTAGCCTGCATTGCAGGCAAGTTCAATCTAACACACATCTTCAAATTCTAAGGATAAAGTTGTGGTACTTACAGGATGATGGCAACAGTGTAAAGTGAAAGTAATTTCGATTTGTTCCTTGAATTGGCAATATTTAATGTTCCTATATAGAAAGTATAAAATGCTGTACCTTATTCGACACCACCTTATACTTTACTACTTGAAGTATAAATGGAAATAATGCTTGGGTGCCTTTATAAAACTGCTTATAATCAGATTTATTTTTTCCCCTCCTATAGCCAAATCAGTAAGTAGGTTTACCAGTATACTCCTCCTTGCTTCTATTGTTTCTGTACAACTGTTTCATGTTAGAAGGGAGCCTGGGCTTCTGCCATATCAACATGTAAATCTACCTTAGCAATTTCTGTTTTGTAAGGGAAATGGATTGCCTAGCTTCTTTATGAGAGTAAGTATCTTATCGTGCTGCTTTTTCACTTTCTTTTATGCTCTCTTCATTGAGTACACAGTTTATAATTGTTTAGCCAAAAAGTAGGTTGAGAAGGTGTCTTCTTTAACTACCAGGTTTCATGGTGGAAAGAATTTGGCTCAAAACAAAACCTGTATGTATGACATTAATGTGACTAGAATTTTGCCTGTGTTCATAAAGTTTCCATTTAAGAAAAACAACCTGAATTCTACAAAGGAATAAAAAAAATGTATAAACACAAAATGTGGCATATACTAGTATAATTTTCTGGGTGGGGTCTAAAAAAGAATATGTCCAGATGCATATTTATATAAATGACAACTTTTCACTGAAAATATTCAGAGTATGTGTTAAAATATTAAGAGGCCAGTGTTTTAAATTGCATTATGCACAAAACCAATGAATGCTGTTCTCAAGTGTGGTATTAGAATGGCTTCTCACCCTGCCCCTTTTACCTTCACAGGTGAATGACCTGTGCTGGCATGTCCGGTGTCTGTCCTGCAGTGTTTGCAGAACCTCCTTAGGAAGGCACACCAGCTGTTATATTAAAGACAAGGACATTTTCTGCAAACTCGATTATTTCAGGTGTGCTGTGAAGCTTTTTCTTAGGAGACGTGTAAAAAAAATTATTATACAAAAAGACTTATAAACAGGCTTTTTCTTGTTCAATTTCGTTTATTGAAGCCCAGTTTTTCTTCCATAATAGATTTCAACATAAGAATGCTTTCATATTTGCTGAGGTATAATTAGTATTAAAACAAATCAAATACACATGTTTTACCTCCTTTATGAATTCAATATACAAAAATTAATTTTAAATAATGCTTTCACTTTGGGGAATGAAAATTTTAAGCATAAAAACAGGGAACCTCCTTTGCTGTGCATAGGTATAAAGTATAAAATACAAGATGACTCATTATAACAAAGCTCCTGTTTGTGGGAGTGGTAAGATGAAATAAAATCATTATGGGAGAAAAAAGGAGATTTTTGTTATGTGTTTACCAATTTACCATAGAATGATTTCTAGTTATACACCAATAAAATGCTAGGAGTTTGGAGACTATGGTAAACCATATTATTCAAAAGAATTGACCATCCCGATATCAGAAATACACCAAATCTAATTATTCTGCCAAAAAATCATGTTCCTTTGTATGTTCAATCTTTAGTTTGTGAGATTATGTTTGCATAAGATATTAAATATAACATTTTCTCCGTGAAATCTCTTTATAATTGTTTAAATGTAAGATTACTTCTAGGATATAATTTCTTTATAAATAGCTGCCTAAAAATTGAAATAATTCTTAAGCATGACTTTAAAAAATTACCATATTTTTTTCTTTATTTGCATTGCTGAATAAAGAAAATGTCCATTGTAAAACTGGGAAGTTAATACTGTATAATGAAGTTTGTGATGCTAATTACATTTATGCTCCATTTCTAAAAGTGATTTCAGAGGGTTTAGTGATTGATTTGTAGAAAACTGCTAGGTAGTTTAAAATACTTCATGAAGTCCAGAAGCCTTTATTTTATAAAATCACAGAATTTCATAATTAACCCAAAATGCTTATTTCTCATCAGATTTACGAACCATTTCTTCAACAATAGTAAAATTTTGCTTCCTCTTTTACTTAGGATAGGCTAATCTTAATTTTTAATTTTTTTTTATATATATATCAGTTGGCCAATTAATTTCTTTCTATTTATAGTAGAGACGGGGTCTCACTCTTGCTCAGGCTGGTTTTGAACTCCTGACCTTGAGCAATCCGCCCGCCTCGGCCTCCCAAGAGCTAGGATTACAGGCGTGAGCCACAGCGCCCGGCCTGCTAATCTTAATTTTTTATGGTAACTAAAAGCCCCTTGAAAGGTTTGGTTTTAAAGATTTTTTGAAAGTTCTTTAGGATTTTTTTTAATACTTCATATTTTATTCTGAAATTTATTTTTAGGATTCAGTTTTTCCAGTAACTGAAAGATCAAGTTGGCAATACCTCTAAAGATAAATCTATCAGTAATAGACACAGACACATATACTCATCTAGTATAATCTGGGCATGCCAGGCCATGACTTTGATTGCTGTAGGAGACATGACAAATAGTGTCTAGTCACTCACACTGGAAGAAAAAGAAACATTTACTTCTTGCTTTGGTATTTTTTAAGATTGATCTGCATCTAATGTCCAGATATGTCTCTGAAAGTTTTAGGTACCATTTCCTCCCTCCTGTGGATAGTAATGCAATAGCTTTTTAATCAAAGGAAACATTTCTGAGTTTTCTTTCCTCACCCACCAGAGTGAAGAATGTTCTACACAGTCTTTGATCATTTCAATTTTAAATGTTTTAACATTCAAAAAATGATATTTAAATTATTTTCTAATTATCTCAGCTTGGTTTTAAGAAGACATTATTTATATCTGCTGTTGGTATACTTCCGTACTTTTAGATTTTCAGTCTGGAGAGTATGTGTTTATCTAGGTAAATTTATAAATGCACAGATGTTTGATATAACAAAAGGGATATTGAAATATTTCACTCATTTTTATAGAAAAATTCAGTATTCTTTTTGAGGAAGAATGAGAAGGTCTTATTTTTATGAACAGGTTTGAGTTGTGACCCTATCTCAAGTCACAATTGCTTACTGCATTGATTTTTAGAAATATAATTGATTCTTGTTTCATTTTCAAAATATTTAAATATTTAAGTTATTCTATTGGAGTAGCATAATGTGTTAGTTTAATCTTAGACTGGTGAATATCTCACGAAACATTAAAATCTCCCCCTCCTCCCCTACTATTCACTGTAGAAGGTATGGAACTCGCTGCTCTCGATGTGGGAGGCACATCCATTCTACTGACTGGGTCCGGAGAGCCAAGGGGAATGTCTATCACTTGGCGTGCTTTGCCTGCTTTTCCTGCAAAAGGCAACTTTCCACAGGAGAAGAGTTTGCTTTGGTGGAAGAGAAAGTCCTCTGCAGAGTGCATTATGACTGCATGCTGGATAATTTAAAAAGAGAAGTTGAAAATGGTAAGTATATACTTAAATACTCTTGAGTCTTTGGGGACAGTGGATACAGAAATAAAAACGTTTTTTCCTAAGGTCATCTTAATGCATTATTTTGTATAACATGTAATTGTGGTAAAACTCATTAAGCAGTCCACTGTTAGTGATGGTCTCCATCTGTTTATAGAGAAAGCCAGGGCGTATGTATTAGCTTTGTGTCATATTCACTGGCAGCAGCCTTGAGTTAGGGTTCTGCTTTTCTTTTTTGTAAATAATTGTTTCCCTGTATTTGCCTTCCTAAGGATGGGCCTTGGATGTGCACTTCTAACTTTTTGTACTTTTCACTAAATATAGAAGCCTATAAATAGAATATTGCTTGTATAGTATATTTGTATTATGTTTTAAAATTTAAGGGGTTTTGCAATCTAGAAGACATATATAGTTTTCACAACAAGCCAAGAGAGTCAAGCAACCTGTTATTGTAAGATGGGTGGACCCATTTGAGTTACCAACACGTATAGTATGTTTTTTAAATACAGGTAATGGGATTAGTGTGGAAGGCGCCCTCCTCACAGAGCAAGATGTTAATCATCCAAAACCAGCAAAAAGAGCTCGGACCAGCTTTACAGCAGATCAGCTTCAGGTAGACATGACAATGAATTTATGATTTTTGAAGCCTTTCCCCACCAAAAAAAAACCCCCAAAAAACCACACCTAAAACAAAAAGCAATCTCTATGCTGCCTAAAATCATTTTTATGTTTTCTAAAAAGTTACCCTAAGCTTTTATGAAAACTAACTTGGTGAATATTTGAAAACATACTTATTGCCCCAAAATGTTTGTCAGTATTTCCAACACCATGATATGATATGAACTAGTCGTTCAAGCTTTATTTCCCTGGGATCTGTAGGTATCAACATCAAGTGGAAACAAAATATTGTTCTGTCCTGATTTCCTGATAACATCATTGTAACCTAGGCATTTATATTATTACATATACTTGCAATGGAAGGCAAGATATTTTGAGACACTGAAAAGAAGACACATATAGTATATGGGTCTGTGGGACACTAATGTATTTGTCTTTTTAACAAACTGCGATGAGCCTTTTAATCGACAAGATTGTATGTTATTTGAGTAGGAAACAATTGAAAATGTCTTAATGTAAGCAAGAAACTACTGGTTGACTACAGCTGAGCAGATCCTTTTTTGTTTATAAATGGGGAGGAGAGAGTAATTCTATAATTTGATACTAAAGGTTGATTATGTCCACTGAAAAGGGAGGGATGCTTTTCAGCTTAGTTGTCCTAAATATAATTGTTATAAATTTGATTTATATGGATCGTCAAGAAAATAATTACCCCTTCCTTTATATTTAAATGTACACATATAATGATTCTTTCTGGCATTTTTGCAGATAATGAAATCATGGTTTCTAAAAGATTAATGTGGCTGAGGTATTGGTTTTATGTTAAGGTAAAGTAACAGTGAGCACCTACCTTGTGCAGCTGGGTGCTTTATACATAGTATCAATTTTAACTAAGACTTTAAAGGTTAAAGTGTTAGCAGTGTTAACAAATGAAAGAAACTTTTTGAAAAATAACATGTATCCTAAGATCTGCCAGTACAGCCTAAGATGTACCCATCTTAAATAGATGGGTACAATAAAAGTGTTTCAAGATAGAATTTTTATTTTGAGAATGATTAGGAAAGAAGCCTTGATGTCACACAAATATTCCAAGGGAACTTGGCAGTGGAAAGCACTCTAGCATTAAAATCTAGATCCATTCTGAAAAATGTTTCAAATAGATGATTATTTTGGATTTCTTAATTTAGGTATAACATACATGAAATGATCAATAAGGCGGTTGAAAGACATATCTCTGTTTGAACGTTGCTTTTCCGGATACTTCACTGTGTTACAATAAAGATTACACAATGCCCTAAGTTAGAAAATGTGAGTACTTATGGCAGATCTGGAAGAATACTTGGCCACTAAAAGGTATCTGGATTAAAATAGAATCTCTAATATAAATATATTTTTAAAATAGGCTGTCCCCTTGAAGGGTTGGTGATAATTAAAAGGTTAACAACTTAAATTTGCTGTAAAATTTATTAACATTCTAATTGTGAAAATTTGAAACCAATATAGGTAGATATACAGTCTCCTATGAAAAGATAATTATAGACAGTAATCAAATGAAAAAAGGAACAATATTTGCGGTGTCTCTGTGTGCTGAGTCATATGCTAGACATTTCATCTACATTATCTCCTTTAATTTTTAGAACAATTTCTTGATATAGATTAGACTCATCCAAGAGGTACAGGAACTCCCCTCAAGGCAGACCACCAAGGGAATGGCAGAGAAGAGACTTGGACCCTTCTCCCCAAACCTCTGGCTTTCATTTTGCTTGGATTTGTAAGAGACCATGAGTGGAACTGTGCCTTAACAAAACTCCACTTAATGGAAGCAGCAGTAGCTAAAATGAAAGAGTGAGATTCTGAATCTCATAGATAGCATTATGGTTTTAAATTGCAAGTGTGCACAAACCATTTGAGCCATGCATTATGGTATGGAAATGTGATCTGAATTATAAGTTTTTAAGAATATATATCAGAATCATAGGTTTTTAAAAATGAAAGCATAAGTAATGTGATTTCAAAACATACTCTCATTTATTCAATATTTATTAGCATTTATCTTATGCGAGAGCTGGCTGATACAAATAAGGTATAATAATTGTCATCAAATAGTTCTTCAGGAATCTGGGATAGGTATAGAGTTTTTTAATAAAGTTGAATCATTTATTTTTGCCAGACCCACTAATAAATCAGGCAATGTACTCTTATTGTCAAACTGTCCTACCTTTCAGAACACTGAATATATTCAAGTAGAGCTTGAATTTAGCAAAACAATAAAATATTACAGGTGACCAGTGACTTATCTATTCAGAACCTGGTTTGAATAGAGGAGGGTTAAAATGGGAGGAATAAATAAGATAATTTCCCAAATTCTTCTTTAGAAACTCATGGGAAGAAAAATAGTTTAAGATTCAGAGAATGTGTCAGCAGATATCATGTCTATAAATGTGACAAATTTGAAATATATTTAGGAAGTTCTTGGCAATATTATGTTTTGCTTATTGTAGTTGGAAGCACTTAATCAATGATTATTAGTATTAAACATGCCAAAGTTAGCTCCTACTTTAATCTATTTTCAGATCAAGTTGGTCAGCTGCTGCTATGCAGACTCCTGACATTTCTGGTAGAACTCCTGGCCTTAAAATGACGAGTGTCTGCAGAGTTTCATTGCTTGGCCATGTTACAAGAGCTTGGAAAAGGAGTGGGGTGGGTTTCAGCAGTGTTAGTGACTGGAGAATAGTGAAACTAAGTAGAAATTAAAAAGATCTTTTTCTTTCTTTCTTTCTTTCTTTCTTTCTTTCTTTCTTTTTTTTGTGAGACTAAACACTGATACAGTTGAAAGGAAGATCAATGAACACATCTTTTCCTTTATTTAGAATATTCCAATTCTAAATGATCAGTATTTAAGTTGTGCTTTATTCTTTGATAAGAAATTGCTATATTAAATGTAATTTGGTTCCATTATTAAACTTGTGAATTTGAAATGCATTTGTGATAGCATGCTGTTTTGCTTTATAAATTATCAGTAATGATAAGCAAATCCCCAAATATCTGTTCACCTTTTTCTATTTGAAAAATTAAAAACAAAGATATAATTAATTTGCTCATTCTTTTTTCTCTTTGGGATGTTGTGTCTCCAACTACATATAAACACAGCTCTATTTGCACAGGAAGATATGAAGTAACACATTTGGAGTAGGAAAGAAAAGATGAAGTGAACTGAGTGAGATTATAAACTTTTAGGCCAGTTCTGCCCTTTTAAAAGCAAAAATCCATATTCTCTTTACAGTGAGTAAATGGATAAAGCATGGCTAGACAGGAAGCTAAGAATATTTAATTATAGAAGAGTCATTAATCAGAGAGAACTTAGTGAAAATATAATTTGTAAACCTCATAAGGTTTCCCTGAACAATGTTGGCCTTTTTCTCCACAATGTCTTTAGATTTTCCTCACATTGTCAAGTTTCATTATGTCACAAACTCTTAATACTATTGCATACTATGTGATAGGGAGTTTAACTTTTAGGGATATGAAGAATAAGACATCCGCCTTGCCCTCAAGGAACTCACTTTCTGCTATGGAGAATTGTAAACAAATTACTTGCCCTGTGACAAGTGCAGTGGCAGAAGATAGTATCATATGAGGACCATAGTGAAGAATGCAATCAATTTCATCTGCTGGGAAGGGTGTATAGGCCAGCAGTGCTTGAGTTCTTTGGGAAGATTAGTTACCTACGTCCCATGCCTGCATACAAGCGCAATCACATTGGATGCCAAACTCCCCTCCCTCAATCTTTGTGGTACATTCCTTATGTTTTATAATACTTCACTCAGTTGACTTTTAGCAATAAAATTCAAGTATCTCGCTTGATTCCCATGATTCCCTTTTCTGAAAGAATTCAAGGCTTTTGGCTTGTGCCTTTATTCTGGTACCTCCTCCCTCCCCTTTACCTTTTAGTATAGGTAGTTATTGGTATGTCTGTATCTTTCTCCCAAGAAATTAAGACCAGGGACAGTTTTTTTCATGTGTCCCTATTGCATAGCATGTGGCATAGTGGTTCTAATGCAAAGGTTTATATCAGAATCACCTGTGAGCTTTTTCAATATATAAATGTTTAGACCCTGTAAATTCTTATTCAGTGGGCTGATGGGTCTCTCTTTACAAGATCCCAGATATTTTGCATAGAGCAAGTGATCAAAACAATGATGGAGATATTGCAATGACTGCACGTAATTGGAATCCATATGTTGAACTATGTGTTATTTGTAAACTAATGAAAATTGTTTTAGGGGCCTTAAACCTGTTTAGCTCAGCAGAGTTTGGAGATAAATGGGATATGATTTTTGTATTTTATTAAGTTTTCTAGTACTGGCAATTTTTAACAAAATGAAAAAAAATAGTAAATGAGACTCATGCTATTTGTACATTTCATTTTTGGGTTATAAGAAAAGGTGAGCTTATTTTTAACAGCATAGTTGAGAGATAAGATTTTATGTTGAAATGGATTTTTTAAAGCTCTTAGTGTAGCAACTTGTGTGTAAATTTACAGAATATGCATTCTTTTTCACTTATACATATGTTTCTCCATATTGATTTTCAAGTAATAAAATACAAGAATACCATGTTTTTGTGCATGTCTTATCTCTCTTGTAATTGAAATGCAGAAAGAAGACTGAGCTGCTTATTTTTAGCTATTTACAACTTACATTTTTAAAAACAGGTTATGCAAGCACAATTTGCTCAGGACAACAACCCAGATGCACAGACCCTCCAGAAACTGGCCGAAAGAACAGGCTTGAGCAGACGTGTGATACAGGTGATTATTTTAAAGGCTAATCAAGAGATACTAAAAGTTCTAATTCTGGGTCTTTGTGAATTTGTGTGTGTGTGTGTAGAAATGTCAAAATACTAGTTTCCCATCTTAGGTCTCTTCACACTCTTAAATCAGTTTTTTAAAACCTGATAATTAGCCTATTTGGGCTAGGTTGTCATTTGTCAAATTACCCTGTGCACATCTTACCTCATTCAATGCTCATAGCAATCCTAAGATCTTCAGGCTAAAAAAGACAACTGCAGTTCCAAGCTAAATCAGGTTTTGAAGCCAGTGTCTTTTTCTGCTTTTTCTATGATTGTGTATGTAGGGAGGTATTGATGGTCTTTGCTAAAGATCCAGGGAGAGGGAGTGGTGAGAACAAAGCTAGGGAGTGATGAGTTAAAGAAAATATATTGGAATGTAGAATTTGTTTGGAAATTATGGGAAATGAAATTGTTGAAGTCGAAGAGGCCTATGAATGCAGAGTTCTCTGTTAAGCCATGATATGTGATTTTAGGAAGAAAGGACTCTAGTGACGGTACATGGGAAGAATTAGAGTTGGGAGAGGCTAGCTAGAAGTAGGCAGTTTAGTTGGGATGCCCAGCAAAATAGTGATTTTTTGAAAAGAGACCCTAGAATTCATCTGAGAGACATTTTATTGACTGTGCACTGATAGCAAGTGATGGATACTAGAAAGACAAGAAAAGGGCTTGGAAGCTATCATGGGGAAGTCAAGAGTAGTTGAAGAGTCATTAACTCTTAAATTTGAAGTCAGAGTATTCATGGGTATGGTGCCATTGACAGGAATATGAAAGTCAGAAGCTGGATTGGTAGTTGGGAGGAAGAAGTCTCTTAGCTGTGCTCATCATGCAATGATGGTGGCAGTTGAGCATGTACACAAGGTATTTGAAAGGATGAACAGGACTCGAGCAAATAAGATCTTTATTTTTTTAATTGAGATGGGGGTCTCACTATGTTGCCCAGGCTGGTCTTGAACTCCTGGCCCCAAGTGATCCTTCCACCTCAGCCTCCAAAAGTACTGCGATTACAGGCACAAGTCACCACACCTGGCAAGGAAAAGATCCTTTAGAAAGAGATCATAGGGTATGAAAAGTAAAGAATAGACTTTAGGGAGAGTAGGGTAAGAGACTGTTCAAGTGGATGTAGTAACAGCCAGAGTCAAGGAGGTAGTTGGTGGAGAAGAAGCATGGATGCTGAAGAAGTAGAGTGTGTTCAAGAAGGAGGTGGCCAACTGCATCAAGATATAGAGAGCCTGTAATCCTAGCACTCTGGGAGGCCTAGGCGGGCGGATTGCTCGACGTCAGGAGTTCGAAACCAGCCTGAGCAAGAGCGAGACCCCGTCTCTACCAAAAATAAAAAGAAATTAGCTGGACAACAACAAAAAAAATCTCTGTATAAAATTAGCCGATCATGGTGGCACATGCCTGTAGTTGCAGCTACTCAGGAGGCTGAGGCAGGAGGATAGCTTAAGGCCAGGAGTTTGAGCTTGCTGTGAGCTAGGCTGACGCCACGGCACTCTATCCCAGGCAACAGAATGAGACTCTGTCTCCAAAAAAAAAAAAAAAAAAAGATATTATAGAGAGACCAGGGAAATGGGAAATAATTCTAGATAATGCTCAAAGTTCAGAAAAGGTTAAGGAATGAAAGCAAATAACCAGAAAAGGCAAGATGAAACTCAGTGGGGGATAAAGGCAAATTTCTTCATTGTACATATGTTTTGTTTCTTAAGTTGGGTGGTTGATCCACAGGTGTTTATTCTTTTGTAACCTGGAAGTGTTTCATAGTTACCAAATCATCTATACAAAGCAGCAGGGGGCTTTAAGACCTGATGTCACAGCAGCTTCTCTAAAGACCTAGGTTCCCAGTGGTTCTAGTTGCCTGTCATGTAATGGGGCCCTCTCAGGTGGTGAGTTCTACCCCCTCAGCACTTTTCACATGTCCAGAGTATTATGTTCATTTCAGAGTGCCAAATTTTGAAAAGGGACTTACAAGGAACCAATCTGAAAGGAGTGCTGCCTTTAAAGAAAGAGGCTACTAAGGGCCTGAAAGATCTAGAAATTGTGTCATAATATTAAAGGCAACAGGGATATTTACCTGGAGATGAGGTCAGAGATGGTGAGGAAGGAATGGTGTACATATGGAGTAGGTATATTTAAATATGTATGGAAGGCGTCCTGCCAGGGAATTAGGGGAAGGCACTGGTGTTCATTCAAAATGAACTTTCCCAGTATTGAAAGTCTGCACAAATGGCCTGGGCTACCATTGATGGTAATGATTCCTGTGCCTAGGAGTAAAGTTCTTTTGTGAAGTAGTTCAGACTCAATAGGCCAAGGATTCCTTCTAATTTAAGACTGTACATTCATGGTAATGACAGCCTCAGGTAAGTCAGATTCATGACTGTTATGTATAATACTATTCTGAAATTGAAAGCAAAGAAAAATGGAGGGTTTTCTTAGAGATTTTCTTGTTGTTTGAAGGAGTTAAGTAGCCCAGATAGGCATCTGTCACATACTTTCCAAGTATTTAGGTCACCAGTATTATAAGCAAGCTAACTTGATCCTAAGCACTAAAACTTGGAGAATATAATTTTTTCTATATTGGCTTTTAATATGTGAAGGTTGAATGTTAAGTATTTTTTACATAGCAAAGGAAGAAGTACTAGCTTGTCAATGTATGTATGAATATGTGTAATATATAATTTAAATAGCCCTTCACAATATTTTTGACAAATTAATTACTATGGTCTCAAATAGAAATCATAACCTCCTTCCCCTAGACTCTTTCCTAGCATTGGGCACAACACTTTAGAAAGGTTAAAGAAAAGAGTTTTGATTGCTAAGCCTAATATGCAAACTTGGTCAACCATACAAGGAGAGTCTCACCTTTCCTAGCTACAAATCTGCCTAGTAAGATATTTGTAACAGAGCAAAATGTCATTGTACTGAAGTCAAAGAATAAAGATGGGTGATTTCTTTTACACTCTGCAGCCAGATACAGTCATTGTTCATATACCCTTTTAGACAAGTGAATTATGAGTTTTGTGTCTTATAGAGTAAAACCTTACTATTTCTTCTGATCAGTATAGTGGGAATACCTTTCCATATTAAGATTGACATCATTTTTATTGCCTCATATGTTGAGCATAGCATGATTTTAGTTTACAATTTTTCACATCATAAAATGCTGCCAAGAGCAACATTGTATTTCTACCTTGTGTGCTTGTTCAATAGTTTCCTTAGGATAAATTTCTGGATGTGATATTGCTGAATCAAAAGATAAAACATTTTTAGGTTCTTTATACAAAAATAAACTTTATACACCTTCCAGAAAGTTCATACCAATTTATTCTGCCAGAAACTACATGCAAGAATTCCTTTTCTACCAACTCATGAGATTCTTGGATATTGTATCATTCTTTTACATCCTTTCCAGTTTGAAAAAAATCTCATTGTTTTTCTATTTCTTTTATTATCAATGAACTTGAACTCATTTACTTAATTGTAATTTTAGAAATTATGTTTTTAGTCCACTTTTCTGTTCTTTTTCTCTCCATCTTACTGATTTTTATTAATCCTATCATATTAACCTTTCTTGGTTTATTAATTTCCTTTTTATTTTGTCCACATAGAACTTTTATGTTTTTATGTATTTAAATCTCTTAATCTTTTGATAGTTTTGGCCTGTGTTATACTTATCTATCTAAAGAGTATTTTTTTTTTTTTGAGACAGAGTCTCGCTTTATTGCCCAGGCTAGAGTGAGTGCCATGGCGTCAGCCTAGCTCACAGCAACCTCAATCTCCTGGGCTCAAGCGATCCTTCTGCCTCAGCCTCCCGAATAGCTGAGACTACAGGCATGCGCCACCATGCCTGGCTAATTTTTTTCTATATATATTAGTTGGCCAATTAATTTCTTTCTATTTATAGTAGAGACGGGATCTCGCTCTTGCTCAGGCTGGTTTTGAACTCCTGACATCAAGCAATCCGCCTGCCTCGGCCTCTCAGAGTGCTAGGATTACAGGTGTGAGTCACCGCACCCGGCCTTAAAGAGTATTTTAATATTGGCTTTCCTTTTCTTAAACACTAATGGTTTCAGTTATTTACACCTGAGCTTTAATTTATCTGGATTGGTCCCATGGAGCTAAAGATTTCTCTATTTTTTTCTCTCAAATGATAAACCAGTTTTCCCTAAATTCATAAGCCATGCTTCCCCAATGATTTAAAATCTCATCTTTGTTATATACTAAGTTCTTCAATTTGGCTTTATGTCTAGGCTTTCTAAAGGATTCATTCTATGTGGCAGTTTTTTTCTTATGCAGTATATCTGCATGGCCTGCTTTCAACTTAGGTAGTTTATTATTTAGAATGCAAAAATGTTAAAGTATGTTGCTCAGAGAAAAGTTTAACTCTTTTGGAGGTTTGCAAAGCTGAAGGAGGAAATTTTAAGTTAATGAGCAGAGTCAAAATGACTTGCATTTGAGTTCTGCAGCTAGATAGCATTAATACCAGAAGTTATTTTCTGATGTCTGGAATCCTTAGCTATGTTTTGTTCTGCAAGTTTCATGACACTTTGTGTTTGCAAACCTCTTTCTGCTTAATTACCTGTAGGTGATTGTTTCAAGAAACTATTTGAATTACTGTTAAGGTAGTTATTCTGCTACCTATTCTGCTGTGTGTCACATTTTTTTTCATATTTATTTCCAAAGTCAGGGATTATTTTTTTGTCTCAAAAAACAAAACTGGAAAGATAGCATTTGGTTTTTTTTCTTTGTTTGTTTGTTTTACAACTAAGCAGGTTCCATCCCATGTATAATTTATGGGAGATAAAAAGATACATTGAAGAAACTCTGGAAACCATAGAGCAACATACATTAGTGTATCTGTAGTCCTCCGGGTCTGTGTCTTCTGTTCACCATAAAAGGAAAAGGAAGGTGGCAGCTGTTCCTGTGTACAAGTTGAGAAATGTTGGAATATGTCTTGGTTCGGTGAGGCTAGTGATAGTAGTGGCACCTATTGTTACAGAGCCTGTGGGAAGAACTGGGACTGGAGAATACATATATGGTCTCTATCCAGGTATCTCAGAGTCTAACATCCCAGGGAACAGGGATGGGAGGGACTTCCCACTCCTTTTCCTTAATGCATGCCTAAGTGTCCCAGAAACATTCCTTAGGTGCTACCTTTCAGCCACCTGCTCAAGGCTGCACTTCCTATTAAATTATAGACTTTTATTCCTTCAGTTTTAATCCCTGAGTTCATACTTTGTCAGCCCTCTATTTTTGAGTCCCAGGTGCAGGGTGTGTCTTTAAAACCAGGCCAACTTTTTCTTATAAATTATTTGCAGCTTCCTTCTGTTTCACATTAATCAGCCCTGATTCCCTTGTGCCGTCAAGTTACTGCCCACCAGCCTCGAACAGAGACTTACTCCCCTGACCTTTATCTGGCCTTCTCTCCTGATCATAACATGTTCTTACCTTACTTCTCTAAAGTTTTATCCCATCACTTTTCTTTCTTCTCATGACAGGATTGTTTGGAGTGATGACAAATTAAGTGATGTAATATTTTAATAGGAGAATGCTCTGTGGTCAAGTTTTAATCTCACTCTGTGGTCAAGTTTTATCTTGTGGCGGGAAATTCAAACACAGGTAGTTTCGTTACTGGAAGCATTCTGGGCACTGATTCTTGTTGCAAGAATCAGTGGATTTGCTTCCTTTATCTCTGTGGTAGAATGGACAGCATGGTGGTTAGCACTTTGTGGACTCTCTCACCAGTGGATGTGTTTGTGTTTAATTCTATTTAAATATTACAAGTTTTTTTCTTATTGTATACCTGACCCTAACATGATTTTTAGGGACTAGCCTACATAGCTACTAAGAGAAATTGAACTCAGCAGGTTGAAATGTGACTGGAATAACTCAATCAAGAGGGTTGTATAAAGCTTTAAGTTCTCAGTAGGGATTTTAGCAATTTAAGCAAGGATTTGAAATTAAGTCCAGCAGGTGTCTAAGAACACATTTAGTAGTTTTTGGTTTTTGTGTGTTTTTTTAAGTTCTGATTAAAAGGGCTTTTTCTGTTTTTCTTTGTATTCCAAATGCCAGTAGTAAAACTAAGGAGACTTCTTTGGAATTCTTAACTCCCTCTCCTCCACCTTTTTTTTTGAAGATGCTGGTTTAATATAGAATTGATGTTTAAATAAATCACCAGAGCGCTATTATCTAAGCAGGGAAAGTGGCCATTGTTATTTGAACTAAAATGTTTCTCTTCTGTCTGTAGAACTTTTTAAAAGCTTATTTACACTTACACAGTGCTTGTGTGGTGGAGTGATTGGGGTTGTATTCATTTTTAAACTGAGTTGGTAATATGCACAGAGCTGGTGTGTGACCCAGTTCCCTTGCTTTTCTCCCCACTCAGGTGTGGTTTCAGAATTGTAGAGCACGCCACAAGAAACACGTCAGTCCTAATCACTCCTCCTCTGCCCCAGTCACAGCAGTCCCACCCTCCAGGCTGTCTCCACCCATGTTAGAAGAAATGGCTTATTCTGCCTACGTGCCCCAAGATGGGACGATGTTAACTGCGCTGCATAGTTATATGGATGGTAGGTATCCTAACATTTAACCGCTGTCTCCCAAGCAGTCAACAACTGGTAACTTTTAATATTAGATTATTGATCCATTCACATTTTGAAATATTACCTCAGTAGTAGCTGAAAAGTGTCATGGGGTGTGCAGCAGGGAGCAAAACCATCCAAACTTTCTTATTTCTGTGGTAACATTTTAAGGGACAAGTTTAATTCCAGCTTTACAGCTAAAATACAAATATTGTAATGATGACCCCTAGTGCTTGATTTTTACTTAGAAATTTTTTGTTTTCACCTGGTAAATATTTAAATAGTTTATTTTCCTATGATCAGAGAAAAGTATCCAAACTCAGATCTCTAGATTGGGGTTTACTGTCTTTTTGTTAAAGAAACATTTTTATTGAAGCAAATCATACCTGTAAAAGTTTGATGAATTAATAAAGTGAACATATCCATATAAACACTGTCCAGATGAAGTAGTAGAACATAATTAACACCTGAGCAGCTTCTCTTATGTCTTCTGCCAATCATTATCCTTTTCTTTCAAAGTAACATAGCCCTGACTTCTAAAACCATGCTTTAGTTTTCCCTTTCTTTGAACCATACAGAAGGTACTGTGTGTCTTACTTCTTTCAATTACCTTGTGAGATTCATCTGAATTGTTGCAAGAATCAGTAGTTTATTTCCATTGTTATATAGAATGCCACTGTAGGAATATATCACAGTTTATCCATTTTATGGTTGATAGACATTTGTGTTTTTCCCAGTTTGGGCTTTTCTGAATATGCTGCTATGGACTTCATTATACATGCCTTTTGGTGCACATTAATTCACACTCTTATTTGCTATGTACCTGGAAGTGAAACAGAATCGCAGGCTATGCACATATTCCTCTTTTAGTCAGTTCTGCCAAACAGTTTTCCATAGTGGTTAAACCAGTTTACACTTTGACCAGCAGTATATGAGAGAGTTCAAGGTGCTCCACATCCTTGCCAATGCTTGGTATGGTGCAATTTTTTAATTTTAGTGAATTTAATGATTGTATAGTGTTATCTCATTTTAATTTGCTTTTCCCTCATGACTGAAGTTATTTTTTCCATTGGGCATTTATATATCCTCTTTTGTGAAGAGCCTGTACATGTCTTTTGTCTGTTGGGTTACTGGCTTGTCTATTTTTTTTTTTTTATTGAATTGTTTTAGTTCTTGATATAATCTGCATATAGAGCTCTTTGATAATTACATGTGTTGAAAATATTTTCTCAGCATGGTTTTTTCTACTTTCTTAATGGAATGCTTTGTTGAGTACAAGTTCCTAATTTTTAATGTAGTTTATTTGATCAGTTTTTCCTTCACGGGCAGTCCTTTTTTTTTTTGGTAACCTCAAGAAATTGTTTCTACTCAAAGATAATGAAGATATTCCTCCCATATTATCTTCTAGAAACTTGGTTTTACTTTTGATGTTTGAGTGTGGCGTGAGATAGGAAGCAAAGATTTTGTTATATTGGTGAAAATACAAATTTTCTATCTCCTCTGGAGAACCACATTTGCCATAAATCAAGTGTCTACATATCGTATGTGTCAACTTCTGTATTCTCTATTCTGTTTTATTGTTCTGTTTATTTTTGTGTTAATACCTAACTATTTTAATCATGTTAGGTCTATAATTCTTACTATCCAGTAGTACAAATCTTAATATGTTGTTGTTAATTCAAGTTTGTATCACCTATTTATGACCCTTAGTATTTTCATAAGTTTACCAGAGTGTCAATTTACATGCAAAAGGGAAAACAATTAAGATTTTGATACAACCTAATACAGTAAATATACAGGTCAATTTGAGGAAACTGCCATCTTAATGATATTGTCTTCCATACTATGAAGTTCAGTATCTTTTTCCGCTTACTTAGGTGATTTTTAAATTCGCTCTTATATTTTAAAATTTTCTGTTTAGTAATCTTGCACATCTTTTGTTAAGTTTATTGGTATTTCTTTTGATGGCAGTTGTAAATGGTATTTCCTCTATATGTAGAAATCTAGGTTGGCAGTTATTTTCTTTCAGCACTTCCAAGATATGATTACATTGTCTTCTGACTTCCATTGTTTCTGTTGTTTTGCATATGGATAGCTAATGACCTGGCGTGATTTATTTTGATTTTTTTGTATAATTTTAAGGGGTACAAGTGCAGTTTTGTTACATGGCTATATTGTGTAATGGGTGAAATCTGGGCTTGTAGTGTAACTATCACCCAAATAATGTATGTTGTAGCCATTAAGTAATTTCTTATCCTTTTTACCCCTCCCACCCTTCTGAGTCTCCAGTGTCTATTATTTCACACTCTATGTCCACATGTACACATTATTTAGCTTCCATTTATAAGTGAGAACATGCAATATTTGACTGTTTCCGAGTTGTTTTACCATTGAGATAATGGCCTCCAGTTCCATGCAAGTTGCTGCAAAACACTTGATTTCCTTTTTTTAAATAGCTGAATAGTATTTTATTATATATACCACATATATATTATATACACCACAATTTGTTTATCCATTCAACTGTTCAGGGACACCTAGGTTGAATTAATTCCAAATCTTTGCCATTGTGAATAGTGCTACAATAAACATATGAGTGCAGGTATTTTTTTGATATAATGATTTCTTTTCCTTTGGGTAGATACCCAGTAGTGGAATTGCTTTATTGAATGGTAGTTTTATTTTTGGTTCTTCGTGTTGAAGTCAGCTGTTGATTTTCTTCTTGCTCCTTTAAAAGTGAATGCCTTTTTTTCCTCAGCTTTTCTTTGTATTTGACTTGTACAAATTTTCCCATAATGTTCCTAGGTGTGCTTCTTGAGTATGCAGTTTGATGTCTTTCATTAGGGAAAATCCTCAGCTTTTTGTCTCTTCAAATGTTGTTTGTACCCCTATGAAAATAATTTTAAAAATTTCAAAATTATCAGCCTTTTGACTTTACATGTTTCATTCTAGATATTGTTTTCTAATAGTTCACTAATTCTATGTCCAATATTTTATAAAACTCATCCATTAAGTTAATTTCAGTTATTATATTTTTTAGTTTCAAAATTTCCTTTTATATGCTGAAATCATCTATTTTGTCCTTTTCTTATTTAAATGATTGTTATATTGGTTATACTTAAGTTCCTGTCTGATAACTCCAATATCTGGTTCTTTTGGGGTCTGTTCTATTTTATTTTTTCCTCTTTGTTTTCAGTCAAGTCATGTCATCGTATTTGTCTTGTTATTTGTTATTGTATTTGTCTTGTTATTTGTTATTGCATTTTAGATGTTGGGTATGAAAAACCAAAAATAATTTTAGAGTCTGGATTATATCTTCCACCAGAGACGATTTACCTCTGGCAGAGGAAGTTAGGCAAGAGGAAGATCAACTTAATCCAATTAGGCATCAGTCCTCATGAAGGCTGGTATATTTCTGCTTCACTATTCCTTGGATTCAGCCCTTTGGGATTCCAAACGAAAGCCTGTTTGTTTTTTCTTTGTTGTTGTTTTTTAAATAGGGCTTCTCCTCTCCTGTAGACCCTGATCTTTAATTTTTGCTCCCCACCATCCAGCCAAAATTAAAGTTTTGAATGCTGTGCTAAAATTCTCAGCCTGTCAGACATTCCTTTAGTTTAAAAATTGTCACTATTCTTGTGGAGCGAAAACCATGCTTGTTTTCTTTCCCTCCTCTCTGGGACCTGACTTTGTAAGTTCTTACAACTTTGGTATCTTTCAGATGCCTTCAAACATATTTTTAAGAAATTTGTTCAACTTTCCTCATTGCTCTCAGGGGGAAGTTTGGTGTGAAGCAACATAGCTCATGGTGAAAGCAGAAACTTCATTTTAAGTTTCAGTGAAATAAAAAATCAGAACCCACACCATTGTTGCCATTTACTTAGACTAGTATTAAAATCGTGTGTTCACATGAAAGACTGTAGTGTTGCCTAAGTCAAGTGTGTTTTGATGTATGTTCAGGGAGGAGGTAGTTAAACATTAAAGGGAAGTTGGGAGGCCATCTGACCGACACCTTCCTGTGAATGCTAGCAACGTCTCTGCAGACAGAGCTCCTGTCTTTCTGTAATTGTTGCAGGGTAAAGTGCAGTGAATGGGGTATGGATGGAGGACAATTAAAGTGGCAAAATCGTGTGGCCCCAAATAAAGATTAGGGTGTAAAACCATTTCTAGATTCTTGTTTAATACTATACTCATTATCCTAAATTAGTGATTGCTCCTGCTGAGGTCCGTGGAATGAGTGTGGCTTGGTGCCCTCAGCTGTAATGAGTGATGAACACACATTGCCTTGGATTGTTTTTGTTTGTTTTTAAATCAGTTTTATTCGCCCTACAAAACTGATCCACAAATTTCTTTCTATTTTATAGCTCATTCACCAACAACTCTTGGACTCCAGCCCTTGTTACCCCATTCAATGACACAACTGCCAATAAGTCATACCTAATTCCTTTTTTCAGGGATAGAAATGATTAAGGATATAAACTTGTCATTTATTATGTATAAAATACCATTGAAAGATATTAATGTTAATTTTTTTTATTTAACACCTAAAGCATTTCCAACATCACTTTGCTGCCCAGGTATGTATCTATAGTTGGCCTGCAAGACACTTTTATTGATTCTTCATTTTTTGTAAAACTTATGTTTACAGAAGAAAACAAATCAAAACATTTTTTGTATTGTCTGGAAATAGTACGCTCTAGTGTGTATCTGTTAATTTATTTGTCATCAAAAGAGCACTTTGCCTAAAAGAAAGGACTGACAAGTGTGCAAAATGTTTACAATCTTTTGTGAAATTGTAGTTTATCCTTAGTTTGTATCTGTAAGTTATTGTTATAAATATTACCTGTATTTTTTGTTATATACAACTTTATACTTTGAAGCTTGTATCTGTGAATTTGCAACTGAAATTTATTTTGCAAATGTTTTCTGAATGAACTGAATAAAGCTTCTGTTGTAGCATGCCATGCAAACACATTATTGTGTTTGTGGTT